CGATTGCTCAAAGAGTCAGTCACTATACGGAGCCACCTGGCAACATTCCAAGGCACAAATCATGGACAGAAATCTTAAAACAAGAGTTTGGTGGGATGAGATAAAAACATGACATGATAAAAGTAAGACAGGAGTTTGCTGGAGTAAGTTAAAAGCAGAAAAGAACAACGATACAAACCACCACTTCTGGAACATGTTTTGTATCCACCGTTTCCACAGTTTGGGGAGCTACTGCAGCTGGAGGTGCCGGGGAGTCTGGAGGGGCTGACTGAGTGCGCGGCGCTTGTCTGAGAAAATGCTGCTTGTCTCTTGCCTTCTCTTTCTGGCGTCTCTCATTCTGCTGCTGTAAAAACCAAAAGGAAATTTTCCAGAAATGAGGGACTATGGCAAACGAATAGGAGTTGGAATTATTGAGGTATAATCTTTTCAAAGTAGCCCTCTCTAAATCTGCAATAAGGAGAGGACACAGTCAAACATCATAACGAAGATCAATCAGATTATTTTAGCGTAATTCAGAGTTATTATTCTAGATATAAAGAGATAAAGAGGTGATGGGAAGCGATCGAGCATAGGACTTTCTCTCTTTCTCTTTGCTTTCTCGTCGCACCTTGAGCTCCACGACACCGATTTTAGCCACCCGCGTCATGAAGAAAACCCGCGTTGTCTACAACTATGTTCTACAAGTTTTAATACCGACAAATGATCGTTAAATCGTTTGTCTCGTTATGTAGAAGAATTGCAGTTCAGCAGTCGATACGTCGCGATCAATACAATTAATTAGCCTAATCCTGCATTGTGAGACAAACAATTAAACGCTCATTTATCCACGAAACCACGGTGAACACATTTGTCTATGTGTTTATAATTCTCTCATTCAGAACAGATACTCGGTATGGATGGATATCCAAGTAAAGTTATTCATTATTTTATAAAAGTTTATCTAACATCTGATTAATTACACTAATCTATTAATAACATAAGTCCTAGCAAAAAGTCAACACAATAAATGCATCTAGGATTAATCCTTATTATAACAGAAGATAAATAAACAAACGAACTAATCAAACAACATGGTAAACGGACTCAACATGTAATATGGATATCAAAATCTTGTTTCAAAAGGAAACCGTAGGAGTTTTTCATAGGTTGTAAACTTCGCAGTGTCTGATCACAGAAAACTAGAGATACCAGCACTGGGTTTAATAAAACGTAAAGTGTACGCCAAAGAGTAGAGACTTTAATCTCTGCTCGAAACTAATTTTGAAAGTGTTTATGTTAGCTCGTTACACAAACGAGAACAGGAAAATTCATACTTATATCTGAAGTGTTACAATTAAAACAACTGGTTTAAATCAATCGCAATTTACTGCATATAACTTGACCCATGGAAATCACCAGAAAAAAATTATTACTCTTTACACTGTTTAGCCCCAATTACAAGAGATGATGATAACCAGCAGTAAATTAATAAAAACAAGCATTTGAAATTCTCACTCATGTGTTAATCGAGAGAATGTTCTACAAAAATTCCGCGAAATGCATGACTGAATTAAAATTCAGGCACTTGTATCCTGTAAGATAAACTCTGTTCCTTCACCAAGGTTGAAGACAAAGAGGCGACAAATCCAGCTATTTTTTTTCATACTAAATACATCACCTGCATTTGATGCATTCTTTACATGTCTAAACGGGAGGTTTGTTTACATTAACCACCAGAAACTGGCGACTTGTCAGTTTAAAAATATTTAAATTATGGTTCAGAATTTAAAAACCCGCAGAATTTTCGTGTCAGTTTAAAGAACAAAGCCACGCTTAACATCTACGAATTTAATTCAAAGAGTTAGAATATTCAGCTTCTCAAAAATTAACCTGAAGATTATGTGCGACCTAATATCATACACTGCATGCATTCATCACAGAATTACAAGTTTTACTTACTTCAGCATTCATGTATGTATTCTTTTGTTTAACCTCAACCCAACAAGTTTGCGTTCCTCTGATAATCAATGAATTGGTCCCTATAGGTTTGCCTCCACCGATAAAACACAACCTTGACTTTTAATAACATACTGGCCGCTGCATACTTTACGTTCTTTCCGCCGAGCGTCAGAAAACACTAGTGGCTATTTACAACAATACAGAGCTATTTCAACAGATGAAGTCATTTGAAACAATAGATTCTGACTCTCATATGCTAATTGAAAGTAATTTGCAACTGCATGAAATTTTATTCAAAATATGTGTCAGCTAGCCAGCCTGCCAATATTATTCTCTTAACAACACACGGTAAAATATCAAACAATTTCTGTTTTAAACGGGGGTGATATTCCTGACATCGTATTTCATTCGATATTTATTCCGATACACTACATGAAATTTCGAGACATTCAAATTTAACAACTACAACTTACGAAAGCGTTAACCTACTTGCGAAACAGTCGGTAGAATCTGCAGGAGCTCTCATCTACTGTATAAACAAGGAAACTAAATATTCTTTTTCACATTCTTTTATGTAGCTGCACGGTACCAAATAATTACAGAAAAAGTTAATCATTTTCCTCTCTGTATTTTGAAAGAATCAAGACATTACATCTTAAGTTATTAGTGAGAAACCCCGCCAAAAAATCAGCAGATTAATTGAGTAATAGTGGAATACATGTTTTGAATCATGTAGTACATCGTTTGAAAAAGCGTTATCAAAGGAAAATTGTTTTTAAAAATGAGGCCAATATGAACTACTTGTATCTTAAAATATTCTAATCATGTCTTTTGACCACAAAATACTCCCTTTTCTAGAAATTCTCTTAGATAATGCTGTCCGCATGTACTTAACTCTCAATAAAAATTACTTTTTTAAAACAGAAAGAGCAGCCGTTAAAAAGGAGGTGAGTGTCCTTTGGCCAATACTTAAGTTAAGACAAAAAAAATCTTTCACTTCAAAATAAGACGCCAAAAAATGTGCTTCGTACATTACGACATTATTTAGCTAAAATGACTGACCTCAACACAATCATTGATTACAGAAGTCAAATAACAATGACAATGATGTTATAAATAAAAATTAACATATTTCATTACAGTTTATAGAACACCTCAAAAATTTTCCCACGACACATAAGTGCACCACTTTGTTATCATGAGATGATTCCTCTCAACAACACTTTCAAAGATCCTGTCGAACTTTCCGTTCTGCATAATCCTCATTCGATCAAGAGATAAATTTTTTAATTAAAAAAATGGCATAGTGTTGTTGTCAGTTTGGATATCATGACAATTATAACTCCTTGCACTGCCTGTAACAGTAACTAAAGGAGCTAAAATAATGAGTCTTGAACATAGTCATACCTACTGTGGATAAATACCCTTACAGAGAGTAATTAAAATGAACATGAAACTTTATCATAGGCCATTACACTAACAAAAATATTTTCCCACCACACATCCTCTAGAAAAATCTGGTCATGCAAATACAATCAATAGTGTACCTTCACTGACTTTCACCTCAAAAATACAAAAATTGATTCACTGCACACTTTGCCCCAAATTTTACCCTACACGTCCATATGTTCTAAATATAGTTATTCACACTTCCTGTAAACGCACTACCAAAAAAAAAATGAATTCTCCATCATGAACTCATAAACAGGTTCCTTTTACATTGGATAATTCTCTTTTAACCATTTAACCTTTCATCTTATTGCACTTTGTAAATCTCAACATGCTACATCACATCAAAACAATAATTTAGATGATCTCACAAATGTATTAATAACTACTGAAATTTAATGCATTCATAACAAAATCATAATAAACACTTCTTCAATAAGTTAGAGTAGCTTTTAAAGACATAATGAATGTTCCAGACTAATATAAATTTTCATGCTTCTGTGTGCAGCAAATAAGGTGTGATTGCTACTGTTGTAGGTTATTTCTTTCATGCAATCTGGAAATTGCAAGGTAATGAAAAATTTTAAGACCACTCGCTAAAATGAAAACTTGAACAGTATGTGATGAAATAGAGTCATTGGCTCACTTAAATTGGCTTCTTACATGACTTTATACATTGCATGTAATTGTCATTTGGCACAAATTCATTTTACTTCCTTAATATATGATGCAGAGAAGGTTACTACCCCTATAGATTCTACCTACTGTAGCTCACATAGAGCCCAGTATTTTTTTGTTTTCAGACTGAAAATATATTGCATACAGAGTATGTTGATAACCAATACATGTGTGTTCCAACTATCACTGGAATGAGAAAATGTATACACTGTATGCATCTCCACCAAAAAATTACTAGCCCCACCAATATAAAATTCAAATATACAGATAATAAAAATATTTTCTTTTTTACTGTAATATATTTAAGACTGAGTAACTGACCTTCAAGAAAGCTCGTCTATGTCTCTGCATCCTATAAATTGCCTGGAGAAGGATGAATCCTTTTCTTGCCTTTAAATATTTATTTCTGCATGATAAAAGAAGGAACAAGGACAAGTATGAGACAATGCTATTCATCAGTCAAAAGGCCAATATACAGGGCCACTTCTTTCAAAGGCAGTTTGCAATAATCCAGGATTAAAAGTTTAACTTGTCCTTGATTTTTCTTGAAATAATACGTATATTAGAGCTTACTTTTTCAGAAGTTTAACTTAGCATGAAACGGAACTGAAGGAAAACACAATTAGAACTGTCTGCAGAGCTACAAAACTAACTAAAAATGTATTGGCTAACCCTTGGTTAGCTAAATAATCCTTTAAACAACTTGCCCCAGAAAACTAAACATGACTAAGCAGAAACAAAAATAATCAAGATGAATTTTCTTATGTAAGGTGAACAGCTGGTCACACCTGTCAAATCATTAGGACTAAAATGCAAGCTTACTATGAACTTTATAATTCAAAATTGTACCCTAGCTCTCCAATAGAATCCTATCCATTAAAAACAGTTTTATGTCAAGCCAGGGGTTGAACAGTAATAAGTTACACAAAGTTTTTTTTGTATGATGATAAGTGAAGTTTTCTTTTCTTGTTTTTTTTAACTTCAGTTTTTCCAATGCAAGGATTTCTAATATCTAGATTTAGCCAAGCCTAAAAGCAGAGCTTGCATTTTTTTTTTTTCCCCTGCACATCTCAAGGACACAATGCCTTGCCCCGGCCAGGACTAGAACCCGGGTTGTCTGACTCGGAGCCCAGTGCACTGACCACTGGATTACTGAACAAAGCCGTGGTGTTGGCGTGCCCACGGTACAATTGACCACGCATGTTAAAAGTAGCACCTTGTAAGGTCGTACGGTCATACGCCCAAATTTTTTAGGCTTGATGGGTTACTACTATTTTGTATAATTATGGGGCTGGGCTACGCTCTGCGAGCTCTGCTGTAAAGATATATAGTTTACATCTTCTTCCACTTGCATCATTATTCCTCTTTATCAGTTCCTTTTCTAATATAAAACTGATAAAACAGCTCCATAGCTTACACATATAAATCTCAATTAAAACAATAACCATGGTGGTAAAAAGCATATATGAGGAAATAGATAATTATACAAAAAACACAAACAACCTTATGCCTGGATACAGTAGAAAAGAACTGTTTCAGAAAGTGCAACCAATTCATCATACCTTTCTAAAATGCGACGTGTGTTACTTTGAATAACAATTGCAGCCTTCTTCATTTTAAGGTATCTGTTATTGAGGTAATATCCACGCATCTAAAAAAAATGAATGATACAAATGAGTTCAAATCAGTGCACTGACTGCAAACTAAATTCATGCTTAGAGGAGAAACAACATCATATCCTACAGAAAATGATAATTAAAATTTATTTTTAATTAAATTCAAAACAAAAAAGTGCTACTTTACATGTCTCCTCCAATACCCCCTAAGACTCTTTAACTATTAGGAGTGACTGGCTTCTAATTTATCCTCACAGAATCACCCTTGAATCATATGTAAAGGTTATGAGAATAAAGGAAATGATCACCAATTTAGGAAGCTCCTGATTGTCAAACAAATTCTCCTTGTCAGTACCAGAGGAATTGTAAAAAGAAACAGTGTGGAGAATATCAATATCAATGTTGGGGTGTAAAGAGTTTACACAAACAAAGATAAAACTGTACATATATTCTATAGTTTGAAAAGTCGATCATACTCGTGCTTGAATGACGATGGCCATGCGGTTGAGCTTAGCCATTCTGGCCTCTTCTAGAGCTCCATGAAGATCCTCTTTGAGAAAAACCTGCGTATGAAAGTATACATATTAAACATAGATACAAGTACAAGTGTGCCAGATGGGTTCTAGGGAATACCCAAGCTCATTTCAAGAATGTTCCTTTCTCTATCTTTTATTCCACTCTCTATATCAATTTGTCAGAAATAATGAATTTAAACTAACCCTTCCTATTTTTAATTACCTTTGTTTTTCCAAACTGGAAGCTCTCAGGTTCAATCTTGTCTAGAAGTTTCAGAAGTTGGGACACATTTTCTTTTTGATTTGGACTACTCAGATCAACATGGGAGGATATACACTGATACCTTTAAAAAAATTAATGCATACATGTTATCAAGGTTGGGAGCTTTGCCAAACTTTTAGTAATATTTCATAAACCACCCCTTTCTTCAGTTTTCTGTAGGGAAGCCATTGTTAAGGCCAAAACAATGCAGCTATTTTAAGGAAGTGGTTGTACTAAGCAATTGGTCACACATAAGACATTAAAGTTCCCTACTTGAACCAGATTCAGAATCAGATTCAATGTCACACTTCAGGCTCACATTTCTGTCACCATTTGCTTCATATTGAGCACAAAAACAAACAAATTGCCTACATGAACCTCCAATGGTGATGCAGAAAAAAAAAACAATATTTAGCATGTTGACAATATCTCTGACCTCAAATTAGGTTTTAGTTCCCAAGAATATCACAGTATTTAATGCATCAATATTACCAGGCACCTTGCACTCATACCTTTTAATAAAATCTGCATATCCATATCTGATAGGATAGCCAGCTTTTCGGATCTTGACAGTTTCCACAATCCCACAATATCTTAGTTGCTCAACAACAAGAGGAATTTCAAATTTTCCTGGTTCCTGGAATACCAATGTTCGCAGATTAGTATCATACGAAATGCTTCATTGTAATGACAGAGCAACAAAGGAAAAGTTCATCACAATTAAGCTCAAGAATGGTATACCTTTGTACTGTTTGGCTTAATACACCTCACAAAGAACGGGTTACAACTGAAAGGAAAGAGAAACGTTTAGAACTACTGCAAGTATGGCCATGCTTGCAAGTGACAGAGAAATAGATAAAGTTCATGGATTCTAGATTCTAAAATCAAGCTCCACAAATTTGGGAAAGAGAAGAAAAGTTGGAAAAAGTTCAAAAAGAGGCAAAACTGTTTTCATGTTCTAGTAATCAACAAAAAATACTAGACCATTTCCAAATTTACCATAACTTTGTTCTGAAGTAAATCTAGCAAAAGAGGGAACATTCCACCCTCTGATTAAAATCCAGGAAACAAGAGCTGCAAGTATTTTAATTCATCAGTTTTAACTCTTAGGACTTTTAAGTACAAAAGATCTATTGCAAGGAATGATAGCACAATGAAGACACACAAATCACAGAGGCTGAACTTCTAATTAAGAAATAGTAAACATACCTCTTCATGGCAACCACCAGTTTAATCAGGGAGTCATTAAATTTGCCACAAACTGTTGGTCTCTTTTTCTGACCCAATGGCAGTCTTAACGAGTTCTTTGGTTGAGAGGGAAGTTTTAATCCTTTTATTGAAAATTCCTCACTTTGAAGTTCTGGAAATAGCTCTTGAATGAACTGTAGACATCCAATCAAAAATCACATAATTTATTAAACATCTAATTGAAGCATGATGGACAATTTCTGACATCTCAAACTTACATGTAGAGAAATGCAGTTACTTGTTAGTAAAAATAATTCTTGAATTAAGTACTCACTTTGTTGTGACAGCTTGAAATAAGATCTTCAAGATCAGGTTTGAGACCATCCCTGTTCTTTTCCAGAAACCCAGCCACCTAAACACATTAATAAGAGACTTAATGTGTGTTTTCATTATTTGAGGATTTGTAAAAATACATGTGATATGTAAGAATATTTTGTTTATCAGAAAATTGAAGTCTGGCCAAATAGCTTTCATTGATAACCATAACTGACTGACTATGGCTAGTTTCCTTGAGCATCCTTGCTTTGTCTCCAAAAAATGACAAACAACTGATTTAAACTGATTTTAAATAAAACACCTATGCAGGATTTACTTGAAGAGAGACTGAGATAATGATTGCCCAGAATGATTGCATGGCTAAGAAAAGCAAACCAACTGAAATACAAACAATGAATCAAAGTACTGTATGTATCTGTCATGTACCTTTTATGAATTATCTCTACATAAATCACCACCAACCAACTGGTGATATCTCACCTGATATGAGACTGTACCAGCATAGTGACAAACTGAAAATTCTGGTTTTGGAGTTTTGGGTTTTTCATAAAATTTGTTCTGCCCATGGTGATGATGGCACTTCTCCAAAAACGACAAGTCATCTGCCTGTTGACATCCAGCAAAGATTAAAATTGACATTAAAACTAATTTTAGTACATAGCTGTTCACATACAGAGTTCAACAAAGAGCTGGGCCATAAGTAAGGTGAATGGTAAACCTGCACATTTGTTCTAGCAGACCTACCAAACATCAACACTGCATTCTACCCACTGAAGAAAATTTCAAAGGGAAATAAGAAAAAAGAATTTGTACTGACCTTAGGAAAGCTTGTAGCATCAGCTAGAACATGTATCAATCCAAAAGGAGGCTTGGCTAATAGGTCAAGTCTTGGCTGATTATCAAAAAATGGAATGTCTGTCCAGCGGATGTGTTCACTGGCATACTCATCCTACATACAAACAAGCAATGAAAATAATTTTTCGAAATTAATCCACAGACAAAACATGCAAAGACACATTTTCAAATAATATGTATACCTACCTAGATGCATATAATACATATACTGCAGAAAGACCTTTTGACAAGCAAAATTTGTTGCACAAGTTTTATGAATTCAAAAAAAATTTTGATGAAATAATAAAAGAAAAAGTATACCTGAATGTGTTATAGATGTATATTACTTATTTAAATTTCTGACTCACCTGTTCCATCCTGAAGACAAACTGGTTGAAGAAAAACTGCAGAGTTTCATTTGCAAAATTGATACACAACTGCTCAAAGCTGTTCTTTTCAAAATCCTTTAAACATGGAAAAAAAATGTTAAAAACAATTAAGGGAAAAATTGAAATATCAACAAATAGATCTTAAGAATAAAAGACTGAAACTTTGAAAATCTAATCACTACTCAAAAGTAATCATTCAAATTTATCACTTTGCTGTTCATGAATTCAAACAGATACGGAAAAAACACAAACAATTGTTGTACTGTGCAGTTGGAAGACACAGATGGTGGCCAAGGAGTTGCTCAATGAACAAATCCTTTCAGTATCAAGGGTAGATCAAGATATTCTTGAATAAAATCCACATCATGGCATCTTAGTCATAAAGGCAACAGGACCAAAAATACTTCCAACAAGAGGATCTCTGAGAGGGGCTTCCCAGCAATCAAAACAAGTTTTGCATCTAAGCACATAGCTTACCTCAAAGCCAAAGATATCAAGCACAGCAATAGACATCTGCATCTTGCCTTTGAATATGATGTTATTCACTTTGCTGATCAGCCAACCAAACAGTTGTGTATATATTTCCTTTGCAAGTGCATCCCTGTGAAGATAATAACACACAGCATAAATTTTAATCCAAGAGCAAGGACTGTTGTCAGTGAAAGTGAAAACCACAATTCAGGAACCAGAACCAAAGTCATCATTAGAGTCAAGTAAGTTGATTCTTTAGACTGTGGTGCTGCTTTGGTGGGAGAATATAACAGGGTAATTAAGTATTATCTACAGAGCTGATAATGTAAATTTGGCTACCATAAAGAGTTTCAGAGCTGACCTTTCAAGTATTAGCCATCAGAGTGAATAAGGAAGGGCTAATACTTGAAACATCAGCTTTGAAACTCTTTACAGTGACTAAGTTGATTCTTTGCCTTGACTCTTTGGACAGGTTTCTCTGTAGTTAAACAAATAGAAGTAAATTTTACCATAAAATGTGGAAAAAAATAGTCACTGTGATGACTTTGATATTGATTTATTCAGAGAGTAACCCATTAAATAATTAGCTTTAACATTCTGAGGTAACCTAGCATAAAATCTTTTCTTTTTCTACCCAAGATACATGATACCAAGATTATGGATAGGGTGACTGATCCTTACCGTGCATCTAAAGCTTGATCTGCGGACCTGGGACTCTTGACTTTAGAGTTTCCCGCTGTCTACAGTGGACAAGAACATGCAGGTTCAAATGTTGGCATTGAAAGCAAGGTTTAAAGTATATTTTAAAAGTACCAGTACTGTAAGAATGCAGTGGTCTTATTTCCCTGCACTCTGTGATTGATCTGAAAAACTCATGCCACCTTGTCAACTTTTCAGATCCCAATATAAAACCAACTATGAACTGCTTTTGTTCATTTCTAGCCTTTCATGAACTTAATATTCACTTTTGCTCTGAATCCTTATGGTATAATTTCTTAATGAGTTTTACCAAATTCATCCAAAAGGCACTTTAAGTCAGTAATAAATCACCTATCATAACAAGTTTTTTTTTAATGCTTTCAATTAACGTAAATAACAATGCATGTACTTAATTATACACCAAATTTTATAATCATCATTATCTGCCTACTTACTGTTTCTTTCTGGGTCAAACATACAACCAGATTTTGAGTATCAAGCCCAAGTAACTGAGAAACAATGGCAACTTCACTTTGACTCATAATAACTGCTGCTTCCTGGCCGCCAGCCTGACAAAACATACAAGGAATTGTAGCCATTGTATTTGATAATAATTCACTCCTGTTCAGAAATGGTCAAACCCATCAATTCAGTGGAAATAGTACCTCTGTCTTTCCAAAGTCCACATTTCCTAAGTGTAAAATGATTGCCAGAACTTCAAATATCCCCTCTTTCTCATTTTCCTAAGGAAAAAAAAAATGAAAAAATTTATGTATGTATCTGCATGTATCTGAACCAACTACTTTCAATTTGTTAATGAAAATAATTTTTTCACAGTAGAACATCAGTTTTTTCTTTTTTTTATGCTGTTGAATATGAAACTTACAGATATTCCAAGGATATCCATGGCTCTGACGACATTTTGAAAGTGGGATTCTTCTCTTCTGTCTGGTATAACACTTGCATTACCCTAGAAAAGTTGATGTTACAAGGTTAAGACATTCTGTTGTATTGCATCCAATTCAACTCACTTACACATTGATCATATCAGCAAAAGAAAAGAGCCCATAATAAAATTATCACTTGAATTGTGCATAGTCTAGGAGTAAACTCACTCCAGTAGAACATAAGTTACAAATGCTTCATAGTTCATTGTACCTGGTTAAGGTAAAAGAAGTCTACAGCACTTGTGAGACTCAATTTCTGCTTCTGCTGCTCAGATAATCCACAAAGGGCCTCATAAAATATGTGGTAATTCCTCTCTCCAATGGCCTATAAAAGCAACAGAAAAAAGCAACTGAATAAATGCTCATTTGCAAACAGTTTTCACAAAAGAAGCTCTGCATAACTCAAAAAGATAGAGACAAAGTGAAATATTTCTGTACACTAATACCTGTCCAACAATCCTGGATCTTTCAAGCAAATATTCAGACACTCGTCCACCAGCAATTTTACCCTCACTATTAAAACAAACAAAACTAACTCATATAACTGCATAACCTTATCTAACATAAGGTTCTACAACTTGCAGGAACGCAATTATGGCTTTAAAATAACAGTCAAAGAATATGGACCTTATAGCAAAAACCAAATTTCTTTTGATGATTTGAAAAGAAATTAATTCTTCAAATGAAAAAAATATATATCATTTATATATAATTGCACCCATAAAATACACACACCTATCATAAAAAACCTCCAAGTATTTTCCAAATCTACTAGAATTGTCATTCACCACTGTCTTGGCATTTCCAAATGATTCGAGTAGAGGAGTTGCTTCTACAATCTAAAAAAACAAAACAAAAAAAAACAAGAACAATCCAATAATTCAATTCTATTTGGTTTGAAACTTGGGACTTTTTAATTACATGTAAATATTTCATATGATCAAGTATCAATAACTCATAACATCACAAACACAATTAAAGGTTACTCTTTTCACTGAAAGCAATAAAAGATCAATACTCTAATGGAATAAGAAGTTAACCTGATGAATTAATTAGTTATAGGAATCGAGATGGGTTATCTGACATTTTCACTGTAAAATCAGAGCTTCCAACCTACTGGAAATTTACTGTTGATCCAAAAATTATACACAAAATCATTTCCTAAAATTCAACATTTATCAAACATTTTTATTTTCATTGGTTTTTTTTTTATATGTACCTGTTTTGTTACTACATTGACATTTGTTCGATTGATAGCTGCCAAAAACTCAACAAGTAACCTAGTGGATTCAGTTTTTCCAGCACCACTCTCTCCACTGATGACAACAGCTTGTTTGTGTTCAGTCCGTAACATGGTCTCATGTGCTGCATTGCCAATTGCATAAATGTGTCTGAAAAGTACAAATTACATTATTGCTTAAAAATGTAAAACTTGAGACTCACATTACACTTAAAGCAAATCAAGTATACTTACAGTTCAGTGCTGCAAGCTCACATACTTTTAAGTTACCAATTGGCAATAGAAAACCAGAAAATGGTTACCTATTTGGTAACTAGCACTGAAAATTTAATTTTTGTTGCTACAACTTGTTCTACCCTCCCTGGCAACTAATGTTGTTCCAGCGTGGAGCACTGCTATTGTAGTGTCAACTGACTTAGCCTTTACACCCTGAACACCCCAATATCAATATCCAAACTCCCTACACTCTCCTCTATACAAATTCCTTTGGTACTGTCAGGGAGAACTTGTTAAATAATCAAGAAAACTTGTTAGGTTGGTGATCATTTCCTTTATTCTCATGATCTCAATGAATGATTCTGCAATGTTACAGTACGGAGAAAATAGATGCTGGTCACTTTTAGGATTTAAAGGGTTAAAGAGCAGTGAAAACTTTCTGATGTGATCAGTACACTATATACTGAGAAGCCTCAGTCTGTGTTCTAAAAACAGTACATGGTAAAGTATTCTGGAATCAACATTTTTGCATATGTAAATCAACAGACTTCTATGTGTAGCCTACACCATAAAGGTCTGTAACAAGTGAAAAAATCATACCATGTATTTCAAAATGAAAGGCACTAAGTGTTTTATTTTTCATGAAAATGTTCACAATGTGTGTTATTTTACTTACGGTGGAAGAGCACTTAATGATGCACCATGGTATTTCCGTAGTGTCTCAGGGCCATAGACATCATATGGCATGTAAGGATTTACTGCCACTAATATACTGCCAATATATGTCTACAGTGAGCAAAAAAAATATTATTTCAAAGGGCTTAAATATAATAATACAATCAGTTCAGAGTAACTTCTGTATAATCACAAAAATAATTTCTAAGTGCAAAATTTCACATGCAATTTTATCAGAAACTGTACCAGAAAGTTTTCAAAACAATGCTATAGCAGCTGTGATATTGGAATTTTATCACTGAAATATATGAACAATAGCCATAAAAATTAAGTTTGGAATAAAACTTACATAAATCTGGTCCTGTCTGTATCTTTTACGAATGTTGTACAAAATTGATCCAACATGCAAGTCACTGTGGTGATTGTAAAAATTGAAATTGCATTTCAATTTAATCATTTGATATGACAAGTACACATTGGGGTAAAGCATTACAACTCAACCACAAACAAAGACACCTCAAATAAAACATGGCTTGGTTTTACAAGCATAGAGGCTCATTGCTGCCAAAGCTTATCCTGATGAGGTGGGTTTGACTATTACTGCTCCTTCTAGATCTAATGCCAGTACATCACAATTTACCTGCCCCGAAATTTTTCAAGTTTACCCGACAGTTGGCCAGTACCCTATTTTATCTCCTGGGTGGAAAAAGGCATTGTTTTGTCAACAGTCTTGCCCAAGAACATAATACCATGACCCGCAAACTGCTCATACAACCACCACAACCTCTAAATACAGAAGTTTATTGTTACCACCACTCAGTTACCATTTCACTCCTAAAAAGAAATAATCTCCTGGCAAGTATTATAGCATATGTATACCTGACATAAAACCAACTAAAAGTAAAATATAATTATGCCTGATAAGGACTTGTGTCGGGTTCATTTGGAGAATCACCAGCTCATAACAAAATTATAGGCATAATGACAGCAACATAAAAACAGAAAACCTGAGCTAGGTTGAGCCCTGAGACTCTGAAACCCACCCTGTCTTTGCTTCACACCAGTTAGAGACACAAACACTCTCTCAAGGTTTCAAATCTGTTCAAGAAGATACACATTTACTCACTCCATTTTTATCATGTCATCCATCCCATGTATATCCAACTCCTGTCTTGGAATGACAGCATTTCCACGGACTGTGTGAACCTTTTATTTAAAAGAAAAAAATTAAAAGTTTTGAACTAAACCCGAGGGTCTCATAATGCAGCTTATTGGAAATAGCCAGAAGTTATTCTGGTTTCTGTAACACAGCTGGATGGATAATAGTATTGCTTCTCTTTTTCAGCAAGATAGGATGGCTGCATGTACAAAAAACTAGTTCACCTCTTTTTTTTACACTTACCTACTTTTCTAAAATAATCTCTAAGTATAAACAAACATACAGTGCACACCATGGACAAATCTCTACTAAGAAAAATAACATTGTAACTGAAAATTGTGCTTTCAGCATGGTTGGAGAGCACTAATGAGGATTATCATGCTTCTGGAAAAAAAGACAAAAAAATTTCTGCATCAAAAATGTTGGCACCTAAAAGGGTTTCAAATGTTTTTGGTAAGGTCTTATTAGAGCTGCTGATCTATGACTCTCAGCTAGAGTACAAACCACACACTCTTTGTCTTCCACCAACATTTTAAATAAAACTACCAAACTGCCACAAGATTTAAACATTTGCTTTAAGTAAAAAATACCTGCCCATCTTCTTGGTGCTGCACTTTGACATCCTGCCCAACAAATGACAACAACTTCCCTGGCAGCAGATACCCCACATTGCCATCAAACCAAACTAAGGATCCCTTAAAAAAAGACAATAATAATGAATCAAGAGACTTATATTTCCCACTTCCAGCTTTCAACCCTTAAGTACCATTTGTTCTTGTCCTCATGCAGTAGAATTATTTTGAAGAAAATTCTTCACACATTTGGCCTTAAAATACTGCCATGAAATATTTTTGAAACCAACATTGCAACGCACCACTGTCATTATCAAATCAAAAAAATAAGCTGATAAAAAAGCTTAATTCTTGGTAACTTAATTAAGAACAAATGCAAGTGTTAAGAATGCCATAACAAACAACACGTTTTACATGACTAACTAGCCTTATGCCATCAAGATAAAATATACCGAATGCATTTTAAAAACAAATACATACAATAAAAAACATGTGATTTCTTGTAAACAAGTCCAGAGAGTTTGATATTTTGTCCACTGGTTCAAGATATCTTCAACTACTAAATCATCAGCTCTGCCTTTTCTTGTTACTATTCTGCTAGATCATGTATCCACATGATGAGATGTTTTAATCACTTTTAGAAGTCAAGGGTTTAATGCTTTGCTCAGATAATACAATGCATTGTTTAATTTGGCGGTTTCTTTTTTTAATGTTCTTATTATCTACTACCATGGTAATTACTGAAGAAAACTAAAATTTAATCCAAGAATAAAATTGAAACAAAATCTCTAAATTAAAAAAATGTGCAGAACTGCCAGCCACAGAAGAAATCATGCTTTCTCAAACTTGGATACACAATGTTGTGCAGTAGATTCAGCCTTTACTGCCTAAGATCATGCAATAGACATTTTACATCTCAAGAGAGAGAAATAAAAAATTCATGTGATACATTGTTGAGTTATATGAGCACTTGGGAGGTAATAACACTCAAGAAGTGTCAGAAAACCATTCACTAACAGCCCATGATCCTTTTAAAGCTTCTTCTAAGTTTTTTAAACATTCCTGTGTGCATATATAACTCAACAAAGAACTTTGTAGATTTCTTCATTACATAAAATTTGACAGATATGAAACAGTGGATCCTTAGAAATGGATAGTTAATAAATCATCAAATGTCTTTAAAGGCATCAAATGGCATGACATACAGGGAACAATAACCAGAAACAGACTAAAATATTAAACAGGCTAATCCATATTATGTCTACAACACAAAATGGCTGAGCACAATCAATGAGGACATGTCTGAGCAAGCGAATGTGTCCACTTTCAACTGTGACCTGTGAGGCTAAAAACTGCCTCAAATTACATCAGATTTGCTTTTACAGCCACTGCAGAAAACCTCAAACATTTGCATACGTTCCAGCTTTCAACAAGAGAAACAGATACCATGTAATGAGGTTGTGAAAAAAAAAACAACAGTGGAACTAAAGGAACTGCTTTACTTGCATTCTTTAACTTTTAGTGTGAATATGCTCAAGAAACTTGAATAATTTCTGACATCAACTTAAATTTTAAAACACAAATATATATTATGCAGGTTGTTCTAGAAAACATAGAGTCTAGATCGAGCCTATGAGAATGCAGAAACTCGTGAGGTCAGTGACATCTGAATGACGAAAACAGACTATTGTAGAATATTAATTTCGTGAACTCATTCCTGAAGAGCCTTGCATAACTTTATAGGTCATGATAGTCAAGAAATGTAGATCAGATTGCAGTCAATCCGGATTGTAAACAAACTTATAAAATTTTCGATCTCACGGTACCTGTCGCGAAAAGAACAATGTAATTCAATAAGTTTTATTTCCAATTCAAATTAAAAAAATAGCACACATATGATAATGCCTCCTTTGAAAACAGAAAGCTCAAAAAGCATACAAACATCGCGGTACAACAAAGCTGAAATTGTTCTCTAAAACACTACCGGTTGGTGAGGGTAAACTTAAAAGATACCTTCAATGTGGTCGATTAATTTGCGAACATCTTGAGATGTTGTAAATGAGTATCGTAAACTATTAACTTTGTAATTGCCTTCGGCAAACCAGCAATGGCTTACCAATAATTAAAGCTACAGATTGTTCAAGAAGATACGCAACGAATGCTTTAGCAAAAGATTGGGTGCTAGTAGTTTAACAAGATTATTGCTGCAAGCGCCATCCCCAGCTTACAAGTGCGAAGATAAGTGCGCAATTCCGGAAAAGCGGTATCCAATTTTCGTTGAAATGAATTTGGGGCGAAGAGCGATTTAGTTGTGAACAGATAGCATCGTTTCATGCGTTCTTGTTTGGTCTTCTTACGAGAGTAAAACAAAACAAAACTTATCGAGTTCTTGATTTATTTGTTAGTTTTCAAACAAGGCAAAGATACCAAAGCCTCTTCCATAAAAGAAATGTACACACATATGATCCCTGTGTATATGGGCAAATATGCGCTAAAGCAATCGAACAGATGATATATTGAACACCCTACACGAAATATACGACAAGGATTTGGAGTTAAAACATAATAATGGCGAATAAAAGACAAATATACCATGAAAATCAAATACATCCTGGTTGCAAATGCGATGTGTCCAGACGAAAACAAAATCTATCAAGAGCTTGTAGCACAATATCAAATCTCATAAACCTACCACAGATAGTCCGCTCGACATCGATGCCAACTCAAAGTTTTCCTTAGGCAACTGAAAGCCTCCAATTCAAGGCTGAACAGATAGAAAATTTAGTGTCCCCGTTTGACGGCCTCTCGTTATCTACAAACTCTGAATAACTGATCCAAACACTCACTCTCGGAAAAATATTTTATGCTTAGTAACCGTGCCACCCACTCTCCCATCAAAATAGCACCAGCGCAACAACAAAATTTGAGACCAATTTCTCTGCATAAGATACAGATGCACTCACACAACTTTAGAAATGCGAGTAAGATTTCGCTTGAAGACGATGTGGATTATTTTTGGTGCTGTTTTTTTCACGCTTACAACAGTTCTAAAAAAGCTCCACGAAAAACGGATGCCCACCACAAAAGTTTACATTCTTTTTGAATGACTCATGGTTATTGAATCAAATAATTACGTTAGCTTAATTTTCTTCAGCTCTAGGCACTTTTAATTTCCAACTTTGTCAGTCAAATCTTCATTTTAATAACAACATCCGCTTTAATTTAAAACTGGAAATCGAAACAGAAAGTGAAACCCAAGTTATTTTTAACCTCTTTTTTTCCGGTAAGGCACGGCCGAGCGCACAATCTCCACGATGCATTCAGTATTGTCTGGAAGGTGCAATAAATTTCCACGTCATATTAACATAAAGTTATTCATGCTTTATAACTCAGGTGACATGACTTGAAAAGAAAAGAAACAATTACATAGTTTTTCGATTAAAAAAATCTGTTTCTTGTAAAAATAAGACTTATATGTCTTATATCTGCAATGGAAGTATAATTCAAGTTCATGTTATTTTGTTGACATCCACTGAAAAATTTGAACAAACTTTCAACCGACACAAAGTGTTATATTGACGACTTTAATCTCGCCTTGGTTTTTTACAACGTAATATTTGCATGACACGGGACTGAGGCTACGTGATGCTGAGTGAATATCAAACAAATTTTGCGAAGAATTTTCACTAATGTGATTTTGAAATGCTCAAGGGTGACGAATCTCGTACAGTCCAGCAAACAGATTACGCGCGAAAGATCATCTGTTCGGGCGGTTTTCTGGCGCAACAACGTTATTTCAAAAGAACACAACGAAAAAGACACAACAGTTAACCTTAAGCTGATCGCTCTACCAGTTAGTTAATTTTTCGCGAAAGAATTCAACAATTACATGCTTTGAAAAGTTTGTTTTTTGTGATTGGTTGTGGCGAAATACTTGCGTTGTAGGCGGCTCTGGTTTAAAAAAACCCGCTTTAATAACAATTTGCGTGTAACTCGCTCTAAAGACAGAAAATTACAATTAGCTGGCTAATTTGTCGGTTCACTACTCATTCGTGATTCGCCGACAAAGGATTACATACAGAGTAAATAAAGCCCAAGTTCGCTGAGACAGAGAGAACGTCAACAAAAAAGAAACCATTCCTATTCGAAAGTTCACGACGAACGGGTAGGCCTACATTGTGGTTAAAAGTTATTTTACCGCGTTATTTGAGTTGAATAAGAAAAGGAAATACCTCTACGATTCCGTGGAAGGCCAACAGTTCTCGATTAGTCTCTAGTCCTGGGCGAAATGAAGTAGGAATATTTTCAACAAGGTCTTCTCTGAAGCTAACCCTCTTTTTACGAATCATTTTAACCCTTTACAGGGGCTAACTTCGGCCCCTTGAACTAAAATTACAGCGCTGACGATTAGCACGCGTTAAAACCTTATTTCATAACCAAAACTATTTCCACAAAAACACTTCACGCAATATATTTGACCATTGATCGCTTAGATGTTTAAAAGAAAGGCTAATATTCGGGAAAGGCATTCAAACCGACTATGTCAGGGGCACGTCAGTGAATTCTGTCAAGCCGCGGACCGATACAAGTATCTATCGAGCACAGTCAAAGAGAAAGTAAAGGAGCGATCCTGGTCCTTATCAACCCCTGATCAGGGAGACCTATACGTAAGGAATATTTCAAATACTGTTCATGTTTTGTGACTTGTTACGCAAATATACTGGCTATGAAAGAAGACAATGACAGTTTTTGAGTTTTCAGTCTAGAGCCGATATGACAAATTCAAGTTGCGACTTCCCTAGAAAACTCTCCAAGCGGTTTATTTTGAACCAGTCACGCATGTTAATAAACTGGCTCTGAAGCCTTTTATCAGCATACCGACATTAAGGCTACCTATTCAAGCATTTAAAATCAGATAAACTATTAAAAGTGTACAGTTCAAGGTTATCTACAGTATTAAAATTATTCTAGCCCGATTTCCTCTGATGTAATAATAGCGGGACTAAAACAATAGAAAAAAACTTTCTTGACGTTCAGTTTTGCCGAAACCAAAATTGTTCTTAAAAGTAAACAAATGAGTAAACAAGCAAAAAAATTGGTTATTTGTTTATAGCTGTTGATTAAATAATTGATATTAAAATATAAATATTTCATTTGAATACAGAGCTTAACAGTGGTTTCAGAACCTTTGAAACTTTAATTTAAAGTTAAAAAGTCCGGACTGGTTTACTTCTTTCCCCGGGGGGGGGGGGGACCCTCCACCCTTCCTCTTAAAATATACGTGGCTGGCGGAAATATAAAAAACCGTATCGAAGCGTGGGAAAATGTGTTACATAAGGCTAAACTTTCCTCCGTAATTACGATGATCAAAGTTGTGCATTCAACAAACGTTTTTAGAACTAAAGAGTTAAAAATGTAAATAAATAAAATAGGTACTGCAGCTAATTTAAAGCTCTATCACGACACGCTGAAAATACATGCTCTCGGCGGCATTTTGTCTCCCGGCTTGTGCTGTCAAGTACCTGCTTTAGTGACCAACATTACCAAGGAACCTCTTCGAAATAAATAAACATAAGCCGAACTAATCGGTTTTCTATTTGCTAAAAGTGAGCGATTTTACCTCGCGCTGGGTTCTTACTAAGAGAAAAAATATTAATTATAGGAAAAGTAAAACGATCAAGGAATTATTAGAGTTGCTCTTTCATAAAAAAAACCATTACCATACTAACAGTTAGGCAACCTACCTTTCCTTCATATCCAGGCATTCTACGGACCCACGTGAAACTTTCCTTTTGTGCCGACTTCTTTTACCCGTTAACGTTATAAAACTGTAACACCGTAATTGTTCAATGGAGAAAATTAATTGTAGTTTGTAAAGATCGTTTTACACGAGCCAGAAGCGTGATCGCTTTGTCATGTGGATCAGTTGTTCAATTCCGCCATTCCGTGTATAGTGTTGTTGTCTATAGCGTAAATATTTAACGCGCAAATTCTGTCGTCAATATCATACACTAGTACCCAGGCTATTCCTTAAGTTAACTAAAGAATGGTTGCTATGGATAGGTTTGAGTTGCTTCTAGGCTGACAAGATCCCACACATAGGAGATCTCGTTGTCTCTAAGACCTCGATTGCGTTCCACAGGTCCATGTTCAAGTTATTTCTTGATCATAGAACAATGTTCTGGGGACAACATTTACCTCTCACATGACAAGCATGACTCTCAAGAGAAAATTAGTTCCCTTGACTCATGTTACTCTTACAAAAACCGTCCCCTCCCTAGTGCATATAACTGAGTGCTAGCGAATAAACAGCGAAACTTCTAAAATTTCAAGTGTTGCCTTGGCCTAAATAAGTTCAGTATCACCTTCATCTAAACAGGTCGTTATGATATGCTGAAGTTTCAGTACTCCCCTGCGCAGTCACTTCGACGGTGTGAGCGAAAAATCGAAAAGTGAGGAACGAGCACCTGTGGGACTCCCAGCTCAGGTAAGTGGAACGTTATTGAGGCTTGATCAGACAGGTGCGAGATTAGTCTTACCCGGAATAAGCCAGAAATTTGAAAATAAAGGACGAACAATTGTTGTTGTGTTTTCCACTAACTGACATTTCTCATCTCAGATTGTAATTAACATTTGACAGTTTCCTTTAAAATATATGTGCGCTATGAAAATGTTTAGCTATTCACCCTTGTTACCCAATCAAAACCAAGAGAAAACCGATGGTATCAAATAAAAATCGACGCAGCGCACTAGATTTAGATAACCAGCTGGATACTGAGTTAAGCATCTCAAATAAGGGGGACGCATGATGCTGGGATATTTCCGTAGCACATCACACAGAGTTACCTTGTGAGGCAGTGTTAAATTTCAAGCGTTTAATGGGTCGATTTGTTGCTCCTCGGTTACGCTTTTTGTATTTGAGTAGATATGGCGGTTTGGCTAATTTGTTTTATTGGATACTACTAACAGGATTTAGAGTTTTGGGCTGTAATGTCGTCTGAGGATTGCCAATGTAGCGAGCCGATACTCCTAAACCGACTCTTAAACAAAAGATAAACAAACCATTCTCAAATTCAAACCTTGAGGGCTTCTCGTATCCAAGTTGAATCGTATACCGTGTGAAACAGTAGGCGCGGGAGCAGCGGAGAGGGGAGGGGTGAGGGGGGTTCTGAGACGCCCGTGTCGAAGATCGCCTGGTAAAGTTGATCGCAGGAGTTGGAAGTACAACTGAAACTTTGACCCGCGAAGTTGTTTTTGTTTTCTCTGGTTTTTTCCGACGACCACATTAAGCTTGTTTTCAAAGATGAACTGATACGGGTTATCAAAGTAACGAGTATTACAGGATTAGTTAAAACTCACTAATTCTATAATTTCATTCATTGAATCGCACCCAGAAACCGTCGTTATGAGCATTTCATCCTAACACCATAAAGCTCTATTGAAAGCCTATACTCCAATTTTCCGTAAACACATCAACTGTTAAATCTCCCCTCGCTCTCCTGAAGCTTTATTTCACCAAAGGAAATAACATTGGGTCAAGCAAAAGCGCAAGACATTAAGAGATGATCTGCTTATTCTAACTGATAGAGCGTGGATACTATTTGCGCAAACAATCGGAGGAATGGGTGCTTAGAAACACCAAACACTATTTAACTAATCCCATATTAACCTCTTATTCTTCTAAGAGCGTCTTACTATGAGCTGTAGGTATGATGCACCGCTGAAGTACTCCTGATTAGGGTCTTGACAGTGAGCCTAAAAACATTCTTTGCAGAAACTATACATTCTAATGTTACAGTTGCTTCAGTTGTTTAATTTTCATTTTTCTGAGAAAAAAGAAGAGGTGCCACAAAAGCGACTAAGAGCATGTTTTAATAGGATATTGTATATCAGACCATGTCAGATTAAGTTTGAATACACCTCTGATCTGATCTTTGTCACACCAAATTGCAATATTCTGCGATCTGGCTTTTCGAATTCTCTAAGCTAATAATTTTAAATGATTGAAGGTAAGCGTATTTTCAAAGTTCTTGGCCTATCTGCAAAATGTCTTTGATCCTGCAAAAGGTTTGAGGGTTTTTTTCCACTCTTTGTATCATGAAATGAGTCGTACAGAGGAAATGATTGAACTGCAAATATACTTTTTCCACTTTAGAAAAGTCATTAATTATAGCGCGATCGGAACTAACTCAGTCTCTTGGCTTCTAAAATAAATTTTGGCTATATTTAAAACACATTCTACCAAGCTTGGTTACCCCAGCGATTGAGAAAACCGCTTCTACCAACATTTCCAGAAGAAATGGCACCGCTAGTCAAGAAACGACGAAAAACGACCGCTACCGACGTTAGAGTTACTATCTGTACATGCACCATAATAAATATTACTCCGATCATGAACAACATTGCGATAATTTGCTAGGGCACTAGATTATATCTTGCCTGGGGTCATTCAGTAACAGTTAACGGTTGGAGATTTTTTTTTGTCACCTTTGCAAGTTCTGAAAATTGTCCAAGGTTACGTCCTTTAGTGAATCAGTGAGGCATTTCGGAAAATTTTGTTTAGTTTTGGCCTCGTTTTCTCGTTTTACCTGTGGAAAATCCTTGAATCGAGTTTCCTCTTGACGTTTTTTCTAGAAGATTTTCAATTTTTTCAATCAAAGTAATCACATTCATGCAGGTATAAACATTTTCTTATTCATGTATTGCAGGTATACATTGTGAATATTTACAGCGTAGAATATGGTCACGTAAATAATTTGTCTTCACAATACTAATTACTCATACTAGTGGGTGTACACATAGCCTTTTTATCCCTGAACGAGTTGCTCCAGGCAAAACACAAACAATCTATTCACAGTCAAATTTACCTCCCTATGTCACATAATAGCAAAGTTTAAAAAGTATTCAGGAAAAAATCTAACAGGAAGATTTTTAACCCTTTAACACCCAAGACCTCATTACAATTCCCCTTCCTGTCCGGCAAACAATTCTCATGTTAGTTCCAATAATTTGGTAATGGATCAACTAATAATACCCTAATTATTATTTTTCTTTATTCTCATACTTGTCTGCTTCATAGTAAATTGATATTGTAAGGAGAAATTCCGTCTTAGTCACTTAGGGGAGTTAACCCTCCAACCCCTTGGAGAGACTAGAATCTTATTTCTCCTTTCAATAACACCCCTGCATCACACACATTAAGGTCATGAGAATTAAGGACATGATCACCAACTAAAGAAACTCTTGATTGTTCAACAAATTCTCCTTGTCAGCACCTTAAGAAATGTAGAGAGAACAATATGGAGAAGATGCATACTGATGTTAGGGTGCTAAAGGAATATATTAATTAGTAGTTTTCAATTAAATGGCCTCATTTTTTTCACTCATGGACATATTGTAAGAGTCTCCCTATAAAGATATGTTCTTTAGTAATACATCGATTTCATTTGAATTGCCACAGAACCATGCATAACCTTAAACTGCCTGGTACACAATTTGAAATTATCTAGTACAGGCCAAATACAAAAAAATTCCTGAGAACCAACTGCCCCACAACAAATGTGTCTTGTCTGCTTAGGAAACCTTGTACAGCATAAAGGTTTTTAATTAAATAAAAATTATTAACAATGCATTCAGAAATTAACGGTTCTAGTTTGACAAAACAAAGCTGGTACTTGCCAAAAGAAACTGTCATGTTTCTTATTTACTTTGGTTCAGAAAGCAAGCATGTATGATTTGATTTCCATTTTCACTGAAAACAACATTCTGTTGCATGTAAATCAAAAGTTGTCCCAAAATAGAATATTGACTGCATTCTTTGACATATTTTACACAGCTTCTGATCAAACTACACTTTAATTCATTACCATAGAGTTCTGTTCCAATGTTAAGCCACAAAATGGTCAATTGTGTAAACAATTTACCAAAAAAATGATTCAAATGTGATTCTGAAACTAACTAGTGGAGTACATCTTTATATATAGCACCCAACGATATGAAGGTTTCCATTTCTCCTTGTACTTTTTTGGGCAAATCTAAAGGTTGCTTGATAAAAGTTTATCATAAATTGAAATTCTTGCAAATGCTGCAAAACAGGTTGTAGCTTAAAACTAAGAGAATATGAATTGAAAGGATAAAGTACAAGGGACACATCATTAACAAAAACACCTTCCTTCAGACTGTCCCAACAGGCAATTGCTTTGTAAACCAACTTCTTTGGAAGTACATGCTACCTTCATGATAATATACCTTTGGGTAAATCTTTGTATATACAATATACAGTGCCTAAATAACTTGGGAAGGAAGGCTGACATATGGCAATGTATATGTACAGTACTATAACTTCCATAGTGTTTTTTTTTTCCGACCAATAATCAACATGGTGATTGAAGTACCACTTATTTGGGTTTTTTTTCATGTCTTTAGTTCCATTCTATGGTTTAAAAATCATTTTATGATCATATCTTTTATTGCCAGCATCTGAACAAAAACTGCTTATGTCAAAAATGACCTTTTCACCAACCCCTCCAATGAAAGGAGATAGTTTTGTTCTCCTTAAGCAAACCTCACTGAGTTTGTCAGTGTTTCTGGTGGAAAACATTTTGAGAAGAATGAAAAAGATTTTGGGTCTATGTTGTAAAAGGCAGTATAGAACAGGGCAGATAAAATCAGTACTCATACAGATATGACAGGAATTTATGTCTATGGAATTTTGAACACCTTGACTTCCTGAGAGCTGAAATCCCCAATTCTGCCCTCATTATTCAGCATTACTAGGGTTGTAAAAAAATCGTCAGTATCTGTCCAAAGAAATTCAAATTGCAGAAAGGATCACATTGGCATTCCAAATAATCAAGTATTACTTTTCACAAACCATAGGATGGAACTAAGAAATTGAAATCATTTTGGTCACTTTAAAGGCCAGTTGCTTTTCAAGATAAACAGTCACCAATATAATGAGCAAATGACAAGTTTCAAAATTGACCAATACATTTGCACACTACTGACAGATCAGGAAGCTTGACAGATTGAAAGCAATTTAAAAGATCTTGACTAAAAACTATACAATAGAGGCAAAGTCTACATAACAGAATGAGAAAAATTTGAATTAAACATGACTGGCAAAAGAAAGCCACAACACAGATCTAACCTATAGACTGCAACTATCATTTGTGACTTGAACAGCAAGTCACAACATATATAAGGTTAAACTACACAAGCCTGTCTTAGATCCATGGGAAGGACTGAGCTCTGGCCCCAGCCAGAATGATGTTTGTCCAACTGAACCTTCACTGAAGCTATTTCTGATGTCTTGCACCAATATTATATCCTCTGCTGGACTGTCATCACTTGATCAAATTATCAGTCTCCTTACTGATCAGAGGTATTCTTAGCTTCTTGGCTGGGACGTTTAAAGTTCCTTTTCAACACCACACGTTTCTTCTTGGGTGATGGGGGCTCTTCATCATTTTCTTCATCTTCATCATCATCACTGTCTCTGTTACTTTCCCCATCTTGATCCTTGCTGCCATTAATTAATGGTTCAAGTCTTGGTGCATCTGGATATACTCTGAAATCAAGTTGAAACTGATAAATAAAGATCGATGATACAACATTGTGAGTGTTTGGGGATATAAAGATCTATACTCCCAGACACATTTTTTGGGACAGTTACTACCCACCCCCACCCCTTCCCCCCTTGCCCCTCTCACTAGAAAGCTTAAGCACACAAACGTTTTGGAGACACAGATGGCGTCTTGAAGCTGAAAGTTCCCATTCCTAATGCTCGCTACACCTTTTTGGTCAGCAAACTTTGGTTTGAAATGCTAAAATGATGAACTCACTGGTGATACACTGGCATCAATGCATGCAATTAGTTTTATTCTTCTTTTGTTTGCCGTTCACATCTCAAAATCAACTTTACTCAACGGTAAGTTCTCTATTGTTGGTTTTCAAGATGGCATAGAAACATTGGATATTAACAACATTGGATGGGGGAGAGGGGCAAAAAAACATCACAGGTGTCTTCCTAGAGAAGTGTCCCAAGTAATCATGTCGCAGAGAATAGCTGATGCACACAGTGTAAATTATTTGATTGATTCTCTTTCAAAGGACAACAGATTCCAAATATTAAAGTAAAAGGAGATTTATATAGTATGGTGCAGACATCTAAAACCAGTTATGGTTAGCAATTTTGATACAAGTTTAATTCTAAGGAATATGAAATTTAGCACCACACTTGCAATGTCTGATAAGATAACAGCTACTGAAATGACATGTTAACTGGCTAAGAACCAACCTGCCAGCAGTATTCTGCTCCAGGTAAAAAGGTCTCCAAGATATCTAATCATGTTTGAAAGTGCCCCAATATTACTTAACTTTTCGGTGCGATTTTTTTTTTCAGAAGAAAAAACATGGTTCACTTGCTTTGAATTTGTTTTGTTTCGAGCTTAAGTAGGATCCTAAAGAACACTGCTAGGAAAGTAGACATTTTTTGTTTATGCTATTTCTTGAAAACAAAGGGAATTAATCACAAAAATCTCTTTTTGCAGGGTACATTTACCTAAGCGAGAGAGCAATATACAGTTGCAGCATTTCAAAGCCAAGGCGCTAACGAGTAAACTACTCCCTACCTCCTTACAATGATCACAGCTCTTCTTGCTTTCACATCTTGAGGTCTGATACAATGTGTGATGTCATCGGCTGCATAACCGCTGTTGGAAACAGAGAGGAAAGATCAGTAAGTGTTAATTCCATTTATGCTGAGCTTAGACAGTGCTAGTCTTGACTGGAGTCAAAATAATGAACCGTGAACATGTTACTCGTGAATTCTATATTATGGGTCAAAATTAAGATAAGAAGTGAAAAAAATTCCTAGAATATTTGTACGGATGGCATCTACATGTAGTATCCTGCACTGTGGCTTTTTTTTTTTTTTTAACATTGCACAATTATCTTCTCAAATTTAGATTGACATATTTGAACGTATGTTCCCAGTGCCTTTGTAAGAAGAGGAAATAAAAATTGTACCAAATCCTTGACTAAACGTGACCTCACAAAGAACAAGATATTTGATATTCATTTGTAACAATGGATACAACATTATTCAGCACAAACGGTAGTAACCAGATAAAGTCAGATTCGAGTGAAAAATCAAATGCCAGTCACTCTCAGAGAAGTGTGTCTCTTTGGTTTGAAGAATTCGATTTTCAATTACGCAATACACTGGCAAGACAATTTTAAATGCCGCAGCAGTGCACTAATGCAAGGGATAAATCACTTGCACAAACAAAATAAACTTGAATATAGCAAACTCACCTTAAAGTTGTCACGCAGCCTCGAGGTAGTGGAAGTGTTAAGACTGGCGTTGATGTGCGAATAGGTTTGAAACTGAATTTGCAGCCAAAACTGAGCGAGGATTCGCTGAAAAACGAACACGAAACAATTGGACGGTCAAAGATGTGTGGTGGATCGATGTGCGAAACTATGCAACCTCCGGGTTGATAGTCGTTAATCACAGCACTGTTCACAAAGCCTTTAGGCACGATTCCAGCCTTCTCCAGCCGCAATACAACCAAATCATAAATCCACTGCGGAATTTCATCGACTTCTCCCCGAGGAAAAAGTCTCTCCTGTCCGGGTCCTCGCTCTGTGAGCTGTTTCCCGTACGTGTAGCCCTCTCCGAAGAAATATTTAACGCGTAATGGTGCTCTATCAACTGTTCTGCTTTTATAATTTCCCTCATCTGCACAATGAACTATTTCGTCGATTTTTTGTTCAATTTTGTCGCATTCCTCTTTATCGAATAAAATTCGCTGACGAATTCCTTGATGAACTTTCTGCAGTTCAATTTCTCTGTCATGCGTTGGATATTGGCGATGTGAAACAACATTTTGGTCACGTTTCCGCTTTCTATTCTCCCAGAACTGCTTTTTGTTGGTAGATGAATTCTTGTTAAGCTTTTCTCGTAAGTCTACATAAGACTTATTCTCCGGTTCGGTACCCGCCATTTTGATTGCATGCAAAGATTTTTTATTAGTGTTTTCTAACCTCGTTTCCGCATACGATTGCGTCACTCGTTTCAATCCCACTCGACTAACATCGCGGCATGGGTCCAGTGATTCAAATTTTGAAACTTTCGACAATTTTGCGGGAAGTCCAGAACACCTGCGAAGAGAAAGATTCCTCTCTTGTGGGTTGTTCATTATATATTTTTTATTATTATTAAAAAAATACTTCCTTAATCATTTTTCTCGAAAAGTAGTAAAACAGTGGTAGGCGTAACTAAACTATTGAAGATGATTCCAAAACAACAGTTCCAAAACTATCTTGGAAGTTGTCGTGCAAATTCTGATAATTGTAAGGTGAACATTTTTAAAACGCAAGCGTCTCAGTGTTCATTTCTCGCCTTCTACTCTGATTTCGCAATACATGTTCGCTATTTAGAGTAAACAAATTTGAAATAAGGTTTTCTGCATCATAAAAAATGGCACAATTTTTGCAGCATTTGAATCCTTAATCCGCAGAGCTTTAAATTAGTCTATTGTTTTAGTTGTAATTCGCTACGCGCCAGAGTCACGAAACAAGACAGCTGATTACAGTCTTCTCTATTCCTACAACTTCCGTTTGTTTCTCGTAAGTCAAAAGACGTCCACTCTATTCCTACAACTTCCGTTTGTTTTTCGTAAGTCAAAAGACGTCCACTCTATTCCTACAACTTCCGTTTGTTTTTCGTAAGTCAAAAGACGTCCATTCTCCAAATGGTATCATCTCCCTTCCATTTATGGTTTGTTTACGAGTCATTTCTAAATTGACGTTTTTGGGGACATTGTATATGTCAGAAAGAATGTTCCTGCTCCTTTCAAAACAAGATGACAGGCCACCACGGATGTGTACGAAAAGAGGGTAGACAATCTCTGTCTAAATGAGAATAACCTGCCATATTTGAATGAGGCGTACTAATCCACACATGAAATTCAGGGTAATGAGGATGAAGATATAAACTAACGAATGACCTGGGGGGTTTCAATAACTTTTTCTATAAGCAACTGCCATTGATTTAATAGGCACCAGAAAAGGGGCTATAAAGAAGAAATCTTACACAAGAGCCTGCCCACAGGCTAAACAGACAGTGATCAGAGGTTTTACAAGCAGCGGTAGACTGCCTGAAACCGTCTTTTATTAAAAGCCCAAGGAAGGATGGCGCGCTCTCCTTCACGCTTCTTTTGCTGAGGGTTTGAACACCCGCGACACAAACTGGATGTTTAACGGAAAGTGTCCGCATGTTCTTACCACGACTGAGAGTAACAATATTAAGTTACAGCTAATTCTTGGTTGTGCAAGATGACTGGTTTGGTTAAAGTCTCAGATACGTGCTCACAAAAACAAACAATAGCTCTCTATTATTCAGGATTGTATTGCTTCGCACATCTGATAATAGCTTCATTCATAATTTATGTTCTTCATTTAACTGAAGCATGCGTCATGTGCACGCAGCTCACTAATACTCTTCAACCTCCCTCAATTTAAGCAGTTACTCCACCATATCTTACCAAATTTGTACACAATTCCTAAAAGCTATGTTGTTTATAAGGCGATTGATGACTTGAACGTATTTTTCCACATCAACATTTTCCTTTCCATTGTCATGTAATTGAAACTCATTTAGAGATGCCATACTTGTCACTTGTGGACCTTCAATTTTCGAAAAAATTAATTACCCGACTCGTAATATTTACATAACCACCGTTATAAAAATAGAAGAAATAAGATATGTTGAAAATGAACCACAAATCTCCCGAATAACTTCCATCCCGTCTTAAATGATGAACAATCTCGCACTGAAAACAAAGTGCAAAATTTTATTAGGGAAAGGTATTTACATAAAAGTTTTCGGGCTAAAATTGTTATGCTATTCCAGAATATTGCGACCTCAATGGTAATTTTTTTTTTCTAATTTGCGGATAGAATTATGTTGCCCGGCAGCCAAACAGTTTTCTTAAGATCCGTGGGTAGAGAATTGACACAATGTTAACCAGCGAAACATCTGTCATTCTTTTTTCTGGAGGGGAAGAAAGGCAGGGGATGTAAGTGAGCAGAATCAGACCAGTGGAGGTAAGCACGAGGCGAACGTGTAGGGCAGGTCAAGGGAGAGCGGGGAAAAAATGGGGCGTGATGGACTTAAAGCAAATCCTTATTTTTCCAGCGTTCGGTCATGCCTACCTCAAACATCCAAAACAGCATTTTCAATAATAATATTGATGATGATGATGATGATAATAATAATAATAATAATAAAATTACAATTTTTTACGGCGTATTACCTCTTAGCATTCAGTAATGTAAACTGCATTCGGATTCGTGTGCACGGTAAAATTATTGAAAAAAGGTTCTTTGCGGGACGAAAACACCGTTTGCAACTTTTTTGAAATCTTTTGGGTCGCGTGTGCGTTACGATCCAACCTTTTTCTTAAATTTTCCTCAAAGATTCTCGGTGTTCACACATGGCTCTCGGAAAATCTTGGCTCAAAGAGCGAGGGAACAAAATATTATCCTTCTCCCTATAAATTCCGTGCCTTTTTCCACGCCGTTTTCCGGAATGAGATTAAGTATTCATTAATCATGTATTACCCGTGTGAACTGAACAGAGACACCATCAAAGCTAAGTAACTTTTGTCTTGTTAAATACACAGCACAGGACTCTTGTCATTTGTTGGAAATTACTAACCGGGACGATTTTTGGGTCTTTCTCATCGTATTCGGAAAAATCCACGAGAGGAGTATATTGATTTAGGGTTTGACTGATGTAGGTGGATATTTCTGATTAATTACGGAATTTGAATGGATGGAATGACCAGCTGGTTTGCCAACTGCGAATATGTTGAAGGCTCAAAACTTTTTTCCCTTAGATGGTTTATCACTCGGTCATAAGTTTAAATCATATCAGAGCAAGAAATTTGTACGTCGGTTGAAATTTGTTATTACTTCATCCGAAAAAGAAACGAATTTTGCCCTAAGTATAAGATCGTTGAAAGGTATGTAGGCGAACTCACAACCGAGGCTGATCTGTTTCTTTAAATGGGGCGAACCCGCCTTGGTTGGGGCAAACTTTCATGCGGAAAACTTGCCAAGAGGCGAAACCTCTAGATGTCCTTAAGTCAGATTACTACAAAAGGAAGCAAACAAAACCAGTGACGTCACTGACCACGCTGTGCCTAGTGATCCTGTGTTATGCAGTTCAACTCATGGTGATTGATTAAGATCGGATGCCCGGCAACGGAATTATCTAGCTGTTAGGAAAGAAACACAAAGTCGTCTATCAATGTCACGGAAAAAAAAGAAAACTTTAAACGAAAACAGATTGATCTTTGGGGATGAAAACATGAAAAGAACGACACTATGAATCGTATTCTGGAACGTCCTTCGCAGTACATTCCATGTTGATAATCGCTTGTGTTGATTTTCTATAGTCTTCTTCCGCTTTTTTTTTAACCCATTGTATGACTGAATTAAGTAACTGGGAGGTCTAAAAGGAGGCAACGTGTGATACAAAGCATCTCAAGGTGGTTAACACAAGCCCTAGAATGAAGGCACTCTAATAAAAAATAATTAATGCAAACAAAAGAGGTTTATTCAGTACGCCTGGGTTTTCTCAATATTGGCAATCTTAGAGCAACACACCGTTGTGATAAGGGGTTTAACGCTAAATTGAAGATAATTTCTGATTAAGTAATTTTTTTTTTGAAAGAGGATGTAAAAAATCCGTTTTTGACACGATTTTAACAGTAGAAAACTGTTTGAAATATTGTTCGTGTTCTAGATCTAGAGTTTTTCGCAAAATATCAGAAGTTATTAATAATGCATAGCTAGGATAGATAATTACACTTTCGAGCTAGAAATCATCTTGGTAACAGGAGTACCAAAAATAAAATGAAATTATGAGTTAAAATAGCACGAGCCGGAGTGTTCATTATCAGAGCTCCTAGAAATACCTTTTCGACTTCGCAACAAAAATTATCAAGTTCTGCGTTTTTTGGGAGCATTTTCATGGACACCTTATGGCTAAGATGAATATATGGTTAACAACCCTAAGTCAATAAACCCGTTGATTAAAATAAAGCAATATAGCCTAAATTGTGCGATGAAAATTCAACCTCTCGCGGGATATTGTTTTTTACACCAAAGTGTTTTCTAACAGTTTTGAACGCCATTTATTTTTCTGCTATACGCTTTTAGCTAAGATAAAAGTAATGAAGTCCTCCTCTTTCAATGTCTCCGCGGTGGGCTGAGAAGGGCAGATGTTATAGAAGGACAGAAAAGGAAATACCGTTAAATATTGATGGAGTTTCAACCAATCAAATTGCTGCAAACTGACGTAGACGGAATGTTTTTAGCACGTTTAATCGACTGGAGAGAAGAGGAGCAGAAAAAAAAGTCATAAATTCAAGCTTGTCTTTTCGAAATTTGCAACTTAACAGCTTAAGATTTAGACAGTTATTCAACGAGAGTGCTTTACCCTCGTAATGAGGAAGTGAAGGAAGATGGATTTTGCATCTTTCAGTTTGTACTGTATTGTTTTCGCTAGTACGGTAAGTTTTTATAATATCAGTTTGGTAGTTGCTGTGCGACTTTGTTGACGAAAGGAAGTTCTTATTATGAAGAGAAACTGATCGACAAAAATCCTTCTAATTCATTGTGTTTGCAGTTGGTAAAATTCTCCTTCGCATGTGGCGACTCGCTGGATCATTCTTCGGGTAGGTTTAACTCATACACCTCGATAAAATAACAAACAATAACCTAAGGAAGTTTCACAATTTTTTTCCTTAACAAATTGTTATTTTGTGGCCGGGACTCAGCCGGTGGTGTTGCAATACCGACCTTCATGCGATCCATCGGACGATGTTGTTCTTCCGCTCGACTCTTCAATTTTATTTTAACGAACAAAAAATCTAGATATTTCAATTTACTGACAACTGCAATGCCGCAGTATTAAACAGCAATTCATGAAACCAAAT